CAGTTTTGAACATGCGACAGTAATTTGACAATAACTTGAGCTGTAGATTTTGGGTTGAGATGATTCTTGAACTGTTGGAAATCTGATTCAAAGGGCTACAATTCATATGTTTACCACTTGGCAAGATTCGAACGTTATCATGCTCAAAAACCACCGTCTTGTCAAGATTGTGAGTTCTGGGGTAGAATCAACTATGCTGTGGCACAATTGCGATTCTGAATTTTTTTACATTAAATATATGACGTGTATTTCCTGTTTTAAGAGTTCTAAAGTGATTAGGATAGTGGGAATCATAACGCTAAAACCCTAGGAGTATAAATAGATGTCTTTAGCTGATTTTTATGAGATTAGGAGGGAAAGAAGTTCAGCTACTCTTTGAAGATTGCAAATTCTTGCAATTTTGAGTCATCAATTAGAGAAGTTTTTCTACTCTTTCTTATAATCATGTTTATGAATATAATGGCTTTTATTATTGAAAGTATGAAATAATTTTATTTTCTAGGGCTAAGATATAGCCCAATTTTATGAATATGCATTGAATTATTTATTGCTAATTTTTATTAAGTTTTGTTTTAAGTTTTATTATTGCGCTTAAAGCTTTCAATTCTTAAGGGCCCTAAAGTTGAATGATTTTATGGGTTAGGTTGAAATCGAGAGATGAAACCTAATTAGTCTAAGGTAATAAAACCATAGATTGAGCGAACGCTAGAGATAGGTTATCGTGATCTGTGAGGCTCTGGTAAATTCTATAGAACTTAATGATCTCCAATTGTTTAAATCTGATTAGAGATAATTGGGGTTAGTAACTAGGAGTTAATTTGTTAATTGTTCGAGAGAAAGTTAGTGAAATATTAGGGAGTTTGGTCCTTAGAATAAGCTTAATTGGGTTAACGATAATTGTCAATGCATAGGATTAAATTGGTGTGAAATCTATGCCCTAGGTTTAGTCATATTGATTTCCTACTAAAGTGTTAATAAAAGTCTATTTTTGTTTTGCTTCTAAGTTGTTTTATTTTTCATTGAATCATTTGAAAAATCTAATTAATCAAATAGCAATAAGATAGGTTAGTGTGGTACTTGGTATTAGTAATTCCCTTGAGTTCGATATCCGTATTTATACACTTTATTACTTGCACAATTTCGTACACTTGCAAAAATCAACAACAGACAAAATGAAATAAAAGTTTCTTGGACACACATATATATCTATATAATCTATTTATTTAATAATGATATATAAATAATTCACACAATTGTGATTTCACTCAACCATTCTTTTCTAACAAAAATGTATCTCTCATGTTTTCACTTCCTTAATTTTAATGGATCATGACCCTTTGTCCCGACCATTGTAGCACGTGAGTAGCAGGTGGGTAGCACGTGTGTTACCCAGGACATTTAGTTGGAAACAGAAATCTTTATCTTATCTAGTATTAATGATGGTGCCATACCCTCTACAACATCCTCTTGAAATACAACTGAAAGTTCTGGAGCGATATACGTCTAGGGTTATCCTCTGCCAAATTATTGGTGTAATTCACAATAGGTATGTATGTTATGACGTGACGATGGAACGAATCGTTTGGATTTTGGCACTGAACCCCTTGCTTTCCATGTAGTGTCGAACCTACATCTGATGGGCACTAGGTCGTCATAGTAAAAACTATTATGTAGTGGTTACCGGTCCTAAGCCTTGTTGCATTTGGTTGGCCCACCGTCATAAAACAACCATGATGTCCAGAAGCATGGCACTAAAAGAATGAAAAAACTAAATAAAACAGATTTTATATAAAATAAATAAATAAATAAAACGATATATATATATTTGTTTTTTTTTTTTTTAATTGAATTTTCAATGCTTGTATGTTATTTGATTCAATAATTCTTTTAAAGGTGGAATATTTCTAAATGCATATCATATACGGGCATAATGTAAGAGAGCACACCAATTGAAAAATTATAATACATTATTTTTTTCTTCATTCAGAACATATCCCCTATAGAATATATATATATATATATATATAGACACACACACACAGGGGTAAAAATGTTTTGCTTTGCCTCTTTATCACTATTGTACCTGCTTTAACACATTATGGGGCTGTTTGGATCGGGTTAATATTAGATAACTAGGGCAATATTTTTTAATTGAGTAGATGACGATGTTTGGTTGGTTTGTAACAAATAATTCCCGGAATATTTTATGACAAACAGTAGCATTTGGGGGGTAAATTTTCGGTAATCTTAATACCTAGGGGGGTTGTTATTAAAACTGACCCTGGTATTACAATTTTTTTCCCATATTGCCCCTAAACAGTTGAGCATTTGGTCCAAATTAACCTTATATTTGCTAATATTTACAAAACACCAAATCACTCATACAAACACTTTTGTCCTCGCTTTTTAAATTTTTTGGACGACATTGCCCTTGTTATTATCATTATTCACAGAAATGCCTTTATACCCAGAACTAGTCACCATCGGCAACCACCATTGATCGCCACCAGAGGTTGCCAAAAGTCGCCATAATGGCATACGACCGACTGTATATGGCCGGCCATGTGTCGGTGAGGCTTTTTCCGACCATGGATCACAGATCCATGGTCGGAAAAAGCCAGATCTGGCTGTTTGACAACCAGATCTATGGCTATTTCACAGCCAAGCATGTGGCCGTGAAATGACGACTGATCTGGCCATGAAACAGCCAGGTCTTTGGTCGTGAAACGATCGACGTTTCACGGCCAAAGACCTGGCCATTTCATGACCAGATCTATGGCACTGCCAGCGGTGGTGGCTGGCTACCGGCAGTGACTTGGGGTGGGTAAGTGTGTTTTTGTTAAGTTTAAAACGTTTTTTGTTGCTAGGGTGTTTTTGCTCAATCTAAAAAGTAGGGGGTTAAAAGAAATTATTCAAAGAATAATAATAAAAAATACTGTTAAATTAATATTTAAAAAAGAGGGCAATTTAGTAATCCATATAACATACTTACCCATTTATCCTTCCAACCAAACATATTATTCACTAATATATTTGAACCAACCAAACACATCTTCTAAACATTCCTAATAATCTTCAAGGTGATCTTTTATTCCGTTAATATAATATCCTCCTATAATAAAACATTATATGATCCAAACACCCCTTATATGTTATAAACTTATACGGTATATTCATTAGGCATAAACTCTCGATATGTCTTATGACTAAGCAATGGGTGTCTAAACTCTTGCCACGTGTTCTGTGACCATGCAAGTGTTTGGGCCATGTGTTATATCAAGAAAGGGTGGCTTCCTCTGTAAGACTGCCATACTTTACTTCAACAATAAGATTCACAATTGAGCTGTCATTCAGATCACGTGGCAATTTATGAGAGGACTATTTCACCATTAAGTCTCCAACGGGGCGGTTTGCTAGGCCATGCGATAAGAGGGTTGCTTCATGAGCAAGACCACCCATACAACACTATAAATAGGGGTCTCCCATCCCAAATGAAGGATCTAGAATTTCATTTTCTCATAGCTATAGAGCAGTTGTCTCTTGAGAGCAAATATCTTTTGTAAACACATCAATAAGATAACAATGGACGTAGGAATTTCGCCTTGCATCTGAACCATTTTAAAAATTGCTCTTCTATATTCTTTATTTACTTTCACGCATTATTTTTATCATCACCCATGTGTTCAACATCAAATTTCACGGTCTCACACAGTAAAGACCCTTTGCGCGAACTCCCCGGGAAGGCTCTTTTATTTCTCGTTGTTGCAAGATATCACAACAACATTACACATCAAAAATATTTTAATGATAATAGCATATTTATCTATATCTTGAAATGACATGTCGACAGGTAGATTATTCTAAAAATAAAACAAAGAAATTGAAAGAGAAAAAAATACGTTGGCTGATTATGCATGTAAAAAAAGTAGATGCAAAAAATTAAAGAACAAAAAGATGGGTGTGTTAGAGTAGATTAGATTTCAAGACTTAGGGTGCAAATTATTGTTATAAGATAGTTAGGGTAGGTACATGTAAATTGGTTGTCATAATATTGTACAAGTTTCACATGGATAAACATACATGTTAACCTTGAATGAAAATTACTAAAAATATCTCAAATATATATTATGAATTTCTAAATGCATATTATATTTATATGTGAATAATGTAAAAGCAACTTTTATAATGTAAAATCCCCCACCTAATATTTAGGGGGTGTGTAGAAATTTAGGGTAGAACCGAAACCTGGCAGGTACCCAAGGTTTCGATTTTGGTTCCTACCCGAAACCAACCCTCTCAAGGTCGGTTCCCATTCTCAAAAATTGGAACTAGAATCGAGATCTGGGTATGTGGGGAGGAACCTGGTGTATTTGTAGTTTCTGTAAATAGTTGGGGTGTATTTGTTATTTTCACATGGTATGTTTTCATTTTTGTGAATAGTAGGGGGTACTCGTAATTTTCCTGGGTACCCAGAAACAAAACATGTGTTTCAGGTTTTAATTCCAGGCATGTAGGAACCGAAATCGATTGATTCCGATTCTGGTTTCATGGGATTTCGATGGGTACCCCAACCAGTCCACCCTTACTAATATCATTCATTTGTCTTTCATTTATTTTATTATTACAAATTTTCAATTTTACCATTGCGTGAAATTTAAGAGATAGAATGTTTAGGTTAGATCTCATTAAACACTCTTTTGGTCTTTATTTACTTAGCCCAAACACTAGGAGAAAGTGTTTTTAACTCTTTTAATATAATTATTGCTTTGAATTTGACGTATCAAAAACTAAGTGAATAAGATTCTTTTTGTATTGAAGGAAAACACAAGCAATTTTAAGGTTTAAATAATATTCGAATTTTATGGAAATTTCAACTATAATTTTAGACGTATGGGTGCAAAGAATAAAATAAAATATCAACTAAGCCCAATATATAAAAGAGGGTAATTACGTAATTTGGCCTTCTCCCTTTCAAATAAAATAAACTCTGGATAGAAAACCGAACCACAACCACCATGGAGACCATCCATCGTTTCTCAGGCCGTCTACTTCCGTTAACACTGGCCCAGAAACATATAAAGTCCGCCCCAAATTTTACCCCGACCCGAATACCCATCTCACGACCCGAATTCCAAACCCATGCCCCATTCTCTACCACCCGAAAATCCCGGACGTCCTCTACGGTTAGAAGGGCGGGTTGGCTTCTGGGTCTGGGAGAAAAGAAGAAAGTTACCTTACCTGAGATAGTAAAAGCGGGTGACCCTGTTTTGCATGAGCCAGCCCGCGAAGTTGACCCGGAAGAAATCGGCTCGGAGAGGATCCAGAAGATTATTGACGATATGGTTAAGGCTATGAGGTCGGCTCCTGGTGTTGGGCTTGCTGCTCCTCAGATTGGAATCCCATTAAGAGTAAGTTTTTAATTATATCTTGCATTTTTAAGTTTTTGAGTAGGATTAAACTGTGTTAGAGAAAGCTTAAGCTGATAGTTAATGCATAATTTATTTGGTAGTTTATTTTAATGGTTCGGTTTTTTTCAGCTATGTCAAGTAAAGGATGATGTTCTTTTGAGACAAAAATAAAATAAAAATTTCAACTCTTTTATGTGTATTTTTTCCCTGTATTGATGATAAATCCTGAAATGCTGAGTATAATTTTGGAGAAATCTGATGGCTATATTGTGACATGTGTGGATGGTCATTGATGCGAATGTGCTCAAAGAAAATCTTTTGTACTGTAAAACTAGTGCTTTATGAGTAATGGTTTAGACCTTGAACGTCTAAGAGACAAATTTTGTTTTGAGTTTTTGCTTTGTATGACTGTACTTGATGTATGGTGTTTGAAATTTTTGCCTAATTATCTGGTTCTCTAAGATAAGTGTATAAAGTGAAAAAAGAAATGTATACGATACAAGAACCTCTTTTAGTTAGTAAGTATTAACATATGTGCAAACTGGACACTGGCCGCGAGTTTGGTACTTCCAAACCAATCTGCATACTGATATTGCAAACCATATTTATGTAAAAACTGTGTCATGTTTCATCTGTGCAGATTATAGTTTTAGAAGATACAAGAGAATATATCAGTTATCAACCCAAGGAAGAAATTAAAGCACAAGATAGACGCCCTTTCAATCTTCTGGTATGTTAATTTATCCAAGGGCAACCGTATCCTTATCATCCAAGAGTTTTCACTTTACAGTTACGCTCTATTAGTTCTTTTGAGGCAGGTGATTCTGAACCCGAAGCTTCAAAAGAAGAGCAACAAGACTGCACTATTTTTTGAGGGCTGTTTGAGGTAAGATTAAACAGTTAATTTCAACTATAAAATGGTTTTCTCCCGATTAGATATTATTCTCTTTCAGATCTCTGTTGCCTTGTCCATTCTTATTTTATGTCAAATGTGATGACACAAAAAACTTTAGAGTCCAAGTTCTACCTTCTGTTGTGCAGTTCATTATCGCAACTTTTAATTCTATAAACTCAGTATTACAGTGGATGAATTAGTTTTGCTCCTACCGGAGCATGCAATATCTCTCCTTTTTTTTTTCCTTTAAACTTCCTACAAGCTGTAGAAATGTATTAAAATTAAAAACATACTAGCCGCAAATATGGTTTAGATGTTTTAAGATAACTTAAGAGAAATTTAATCATTCCATTCTCTTTTCCAAAGTTTTAAATCCTTCGTTTAGGATGAATTCCTTAAAATAATGGAGTTATTTGATAGATAATAAGCATTATGAATGGTACTCGTGTCATTGATAGGAGGAATTAGTTGTTGATAATCAAATATTACAGTGTTCAGTCAGTTTCCATCCTCCAAATAATTGATCTGTGTGAAATTATTCTCTTTCATCTGGATATTGTTAATTTAGAATTATATTATAGATTCTCTTGTTAGTCGATGAATACTGACAAATATATGCAATTTGCGAGACATGAAAAGGAGGATTTCAACACTACTGAAATTTCAGTTAGAACCTTGACTTTGATGCTACGAAAGATTTTAGTTTATTTTTCGTAATCCCTTTTCTTTCTTTTTTTGCCGTGTCATTCAGTGTTGATGGATATAGAGCGGTCGTGGAGAGATATCTAGATGTTGAGGTTACAGGTTTGGATCGCGATGGCAAGCCCATCAAAGTAGATGCTACAGGTTGGCAGGCACGGATTTTACAGCATGAGTGTGATCATCTAGAGGGAACCCTCTATGTTGATAAGATGGTACCAAAAACATTTAGAATTACAGAAAATTTGGACTTGCCTCTTGCCGAGGGATGCCCGAAGCTTGGGGCTCGCTAGCTCATCCTATAGAGCTGAATTGTTAGTCTAAAGAACAAGGATGAAGGTTTGTATTTTAGTGTAATGAGGCTCTATCGCAACTTTTGGTGATGCTCCAGGATGTAGTTGACCGTTTTAGAGAACGTTCATGTTCTTTTATCTTTGTTTTTTAGGGAATGCGGGGAAATTTTTTCTTCATTTCACTGCATTTCCTATCATGTATCAAATTGTTTGTTTATTGCAGAAAGATTTGAAGCAGTTGTAACTGTTATTATGATTCAGTTGAAATCGGCATTGATTGAACATCTTTTTTAATATAAAGAATTTGCGTAATTTTTACTAGGATGTGATATTTTAAATTGTATTGCTTCAGAGCTTAACTATTATTATTTTTCCAGCTACAACAACCCCAAATTTGACTGTGGTCTCCGACTGGTATTCTGGAGAGACTCAATTCTAAATGAGTTATAAAGTAACAGGAAGCAAAAGAATTAGATGTTATGAACAAGTATTATGTTGATTTAAGATATTAGCTTCAGGATGCTCACAGATTTTAGTTTATTGTTTGTAATCCAATGAATTCATATGACAGATTTATCAGATTAATTGTTACGTAAGACATTATTATGGGTGAGTATGGGTAAAGGGTAGAATCAGAATTGGCCCCATTAGGGTCAGGTTCTAGTTCTGGAAAATTGGAACCGGGAATTTTTGGATCCAGTTTCGATTCTAGCACTGCAGGAACCGGGAATCGGAATCAAGGTCCAGGTATCTGGGTAGGAATCAAGACTGAATTATAATTTTTATAAACTATTGGGGGTGTACCTGTAATTTTTGGGCGTGTATTTGTCATTTTTTAAAAAATATGGGGGTAAAAACGATACGAAGAACCGGAAACAAAACCTATGTTTTAGGTTCTGGTTCTAGATTTCTATGAACTAGAACTAGTCAGTTCCGATTCCGATTCTAAATCTTAGGAACCAGCCGGTTTCGACTCCGATTCCGATTCCTTAAAAAAGTGCAAGGTATCCAAAACCGCTCACTCTTAGACATAAATAATTTGAATTGAGAAATTTACAAATTCTACAATATGTAGAAAACTCTGTATTCTTTTTTGTTAGTAGAATTTTGAGAAAAACTTGAAATGTATTTGTACCTTCTGAGAATCATTATTGCTATGGCGATAATCAAATTGGCACCCACGTATTGATGTTCAAAGAAATTTGCAATTATATGATTGGGTTGAACCGCCTTACATTACAATCCCCTCTCAAGTGATATGCTACTCAACAAACTCATCGATTGAACAGTACAAGAAATGAAGTGATATGCAAATTAATGTGAAGCCACATTACTATAATTGTTTTAATCATTATCAAATTAGGATCTTGATGTCGATGAATTGTAAGTTGCGAATGAAGTGGATGAGGAGAATCAAAGAGTCATTGTAGAATTTAGTGATCAGATTCCAGAATTTCATTACACTAATCGAATGGATATTAATGTCTTTCTCAATCATCCAAATGACCAATAAGTCATGTATGTTTTAACTAAAGAAGAAATATTCATTACTATAATTAGACAAGAAGATAAAGGAAATAATAATGAGGATGATAGTACGAAAATACAAAAAGTTTTGTGCCAAAAAACTTTAAACATACTTGAGAAACTAGAAATATTTGGCTTCTATAAGAAAATGTTCATACTAACGAGTAATTTACCCGCAAGTTAAAAGATGTAGTAACAACTCTAAAGCATAAATCATTATCTCAAACAACTTTAGATAAATATTTTATTTCATCTTAAACCTTTAATGTAACATATTATATATTTTTTTGTAATATACAGATAATTATTACTATGTGGAGGCAACTTTTTTTAAGACGGGAATTAGAAAAATTATAACTTATTATAATGTAGAATTTATTCTTATTTATAATTATTCTAAATTGAGAATTGAATTTTTTATAATTATATACAGTTTATTCTTATATAGAATATCACTATAGAGAGGTTTTATTGTACAACCATAATCATACAACCCTACTTAATATACTCATTGGTCAGCTGTATAGAAAAATGCAGAACAATATGTATTGCTCAAATTAAAATTGATTCCCTCAGAGCCCTGTAGTTAGATGAGACATACTGTCGAATTAAGCCTTCGGTGAAGCAAGCAGGCGGGTATACTAAACCCATAGTTGACCCGTAAGCGTTCCAACAGAATGAACTTGTGATCCCCCCAGAGTGTGACACAAGATGAATGTCTTCCAGATATAAGCCTTCACATGGTGTATAATCGCTGCATGCAAATACTATTGCTTCCTCTGTGGCTGAAGTTCCTTTAATGTGCTCAAAGGATATGTTCTCTATTTTAACAGCCGAAGTCTGCATTTCATCAGGATAATAGATGCACATAAAAACCAAACAGTCCCTTTCACAAACTGTAAATACGTCAAGCGAAATTCATAGACAATAAATAGGTATACGAGACTGTTTAAATTCAAAACGAAAAACCATGAAGAGCAGTGTTTCGATTTTCTAAACAAGAAATATCCAATTATAGCGTTTTCAGTGACATGCAGCTATCATTATAACCATGTTTCTTTTGACATATGCTGAAAAGATTTGATATTCCCAAACCTTGAACTTGAAAAAAAGTAAGAATTTTCTACCTGGTTTGCACATGGTGTCGAAGAATCACAATAGTATTGGTCTATTATAATTGGATTCGATACGTTTTCCATCAACAAATTCCGGAACATAATGTTAGTGGCAAAACCACTACCTCCCTGGTGAAGATATAAGAAAGCACAGAATCAATTTACTATATATTCAATTGTTTTGAGTTTCTATAACACATAAATTGACAGTTACGTGTATATGTATATAGGTGGAGCAAGAGAGACTACGATCTTGGGAAAACTACCTGCCATGTTTTAATTCGCACCCCATTCTCGGTGTTGGAAATAAACGCTCCATCAACCTTTACATCTTGAATTTGTGAACATGAGTTGAATTTTCCCAAGCTTCCAATGCTGATGGACAATGATCTAAATGAGTAAAGGTCAATAACTCTACCCATGGTCTAATTTGGATGGAAGTTGTTCTTACCTTATACCATGGCCTGGTCCACAGACAATATTTTCTATTTGGACTCGTGAAGAATTGCTGACTATAGAGATACAGTCATCTCCTGGATGAAGAATTTTAAGAATAAAACAGATAAGGATCTCAAAAGAAAACAACGGTTTTTTCATGAAATAGGACATACAACCTTTACCTTTGTTAGGTCACAAAGAAGGGACCTCATACAACTTAACTGTATGGAGTTTGAAGATGCGATATAATTGTTTTCTCAAAATGTAAACAGACCAGATTGAGTATTATTACTTATTTCCGAAACCCATAAACTATCCACTCTAACTCATGTCTTTAGTAAATCTGAACCAGGAGTAGGACTAGTTTCCATCAAAGTACTACAGATCAAGTTTTTCTAAATAGAATGGAAACAAGTCAAAGAATATAACCAGGGCAGCCAAATCCATTGCACATTACAATTATAGGTGGGCATAAATTACAATGAGAATACTGATATCTCATTCTCAAAACAAACTTTCAACTTATTAACTCATGATGACAATCACTTTTCCGAAACAGACATGCAATCACAACCAAAAATCCTAATCCACAATCTTGCTGTCTTACAATGAAGCAGACTATCATCCACATTTTCTACAAAAAGGAAACTTACTGCATTTAAATGAGTATGAGAAGAATTTTAGCCGTGGTATGAAAATTGTACAACCACTCGGATATGCAGCAGTTTCTGAGAATAACCAACCTGTTCTTACAATGCAATTTTTTACTTCAACACTCTGTGATGCCGTAATGTGGATTCCATCTGTGTTAGGGCTCGCGGCGGGTGCTATCACTTTGAGTTGGGAAGTCACAACCCGAAGACAGCTACTAAATGAAATGTGCATTTGTTGGCTGTTGACAATCATAAGGTTCTTGACTTCCAAATTCTTGCACTCGTGGAAAGTAACAGCCTGCAAGCGTGGTTGTTATAAGATATTAAGCCTACAAACCATATGGGAAAGGTAACATTTTGGAGCCATAATTAGGGGTGTTTAAGGTGCACAGAGGAGCAGAACTAAATGCATTGATCAAAGAATAAACCAGCACTAACCGTTGGAGCAGGTTGACATGGCTGCAATATATTAAATAAATCAGATTCAGAAAAATGCGGGTAAGTAACTGTAAAGTAGACAAAAATCTAAAAGTGCAATACAGCTATACATTTGCAGGGTTGATCTTGCATGATCTAGCCCACCATTCCCATCCCATCCCATTGATTGTCCCTCCTCCTTCTACAGTAAGGCGGTTCACCCCATGAAAGTAGAGCCATTTTCGATGATTTAAACCCTTCCACGCATCAGGATCTTTGGGGGCAACAATTGTACCAGATATCTATAGAAATACGATCCCATTGAAATAAATTGAACAAAATTGATCTCAGGCACTAACATAGAATAGGAAGATATTATATATGAAAAATCAGTTCTTATAAACTTTTTGCTCATACCACCAAAGTGACTTTCGATTTGCATGGCCCAGAAAAGTCAATAGGACGGATCAGAGAAGTATTTCCAGCTGGAATTACAATTACAATTCTTTCTCCTGACGAAAAAGAACAAGCTAGCTTCCAAGCATTTTCAAAAGCCTGAAAGCATAATATGCACCATAATATATGAAAGGCTTTATCTTTCCATTTATTAGTAAACAAAGTGAAACAGCAAAAATCAGTACTGCATCAAATTTCCAACAGAAGAAGATAAAAAAATATTTGCATTCCACAGTAACATTCATTCATGATTCTCCATATCAAGCTTGTTAGAGTAGGTGCCCTAGAGCCAATCAATTATTGTAATATTGACTCTGTAATAAATGTTTATAAATAAAAGACGTATTCTTCTATATCGTGTATATAATGATATATGTCCTTAGGATGGTAGAATCGTGACGAGTGTATCAAGTGTTTCAAATCTTGATAGTGAGAACCATATGATCACATATGATGGTCATTCTAGAAACGTCCGTAGCCCCAGTATTATTCTGACCAAGGACACAGATAATACGGTAAGACTATCATTGTGTTGAACGACCCTGTCGAAAGGCAGTGACTGATCTCACTTGTCAAGGTTGTTTGCTAAAAACCTAGTGCAACACATGGGTGCTTGCTAGAGGCAAGTTCACTGGACAGACCCACCAGAAAATTCACTGGACAGACCCACCAGAAGATTCCATATGGATAATAACCCCAGTGTCTATGAAATAAATCTTCTAACGGATGGTGGTGCATGTGATTCTTAGACTTGAGAGTGCCTTGTGCACCAATTTGTGTAGTTTGACACTAGCCCAACGTAGTTCTATTCAGAGCTATCAATACGGTAGTGATTGACTACATTAAGAAGTGTATCGAGACTATGGTGGATCGACAAAGGATTCATCACTCTTAGGTACAAGAGAAGTTATCTCACTAGGTAATTAAGTAAATGGCAATGACATTAAATCTGTGGTCACAGTGGGATTGAGTTGATGCTCAATCCAATTTAATATTCTTGTCATTGGTCTAGTAACTGAATACAAACATGTCGAGGATATCTGAGGTTGACACTATTTCTGTACCTCAGTCTCGATGAGATAACAGTTAATGAAAGGATTTGATTGCACGGTAACCATAACATTGATAGGCTGCGGTTTCGCTGAATCCGAATCTATCGGGTGGCCATGATGCCTTGCTAGGGGCCAATCTTGGTCTGTGTGTAATAAGACGATTAATTGGTGTTAATCACGATACTACTCACTACCGATATGATAAGAAGCCTACAGGTCACACACTTAGAAGATAATTTTAGAATCAATTTGTGAGAAGGGTATTTTCGTCTTTTAGGACGAAAGGGTATTTTGGTAATCTCATAGTGCAATTAAATTTGTTGAGGTTATTGTCTGTATTTAATTTTAATATTAAAATTAAATTAGTGAGATTATATTTAAATATATATCTCTGTATATGTTTAAATAAATTATTATTATTAATTAAATGTTAATATATTATTATATATTAATTGATTTTAATTATAATAATAATTAATTAAAATACCATAAATGGTGTGTTTGGTTACAAGGGTGAACTAGGGTTGGAGCCCATAGCTATTCCTAAGTGGAATAGAGTTTTAATTGTTACACTATATAAATGCAACTTAAAATTAAAACATAATAGAATTATTTATTCAATTAAAACCCTAGCCACCCTATCTCTCTCTCTCAAGGAGAAAACTTTTCTTGTTCTTCTTTCTTGATTTTTGAAGCCCTTGATTGTTCTAACAAAATAATCAAGGGTTCTTCGGATTATCTTCGTGTGGATTTTTGTGAGTGCGATCCTACTTTGGATCGATTGACGAAAAATCACGTGAACAGTAGACGACGAACAGTAACCGTGAACAGTACCGTAAACAGTGTTCCTGTTCGAAATCAGAGATATTCGAAAGAGCCTCCAAATGTACATAAGTATTCTAATCCTTGAATGGATTTACCTTATACAGATTTTTATTTATAAACATGTAAACAATATAATCTATACTCAGATCTAGGCAAAGAAGGGTAATTGATTTACCAATTAAATTTTCGTTTTCCGCTGCGTATGGTAGATCAATTACTTACAGAGCTACATAACTTGACAAGTTCAAATTTTCTCGAACTACAAAAGATTTGGTTAAACCAACTCGATTTACATTGTATTTCCACAAATGAAACTCATAAGCAGGCCTTTACAAGTTCAAATTTTCCATAAAGAAATTCCTAATCAATAAGTCTAGTCTTTATTGCACATAACTTGACATCATAATCATGAAATTCCTCAACTGTAGTTTTCTTAAAACTAGACAAAATTCGACTCTCCAAGACAACTCACAGTTCACATTAAAACAAACTAACCGAAGCACCGACTCCTCAGCTTAAATTAAAAACATAACTAAAAGCTTTGATCACCATATATTATAAGTTGTAGATAAGTTACCTCAGTATCATCATGGAGACCGTCTCCTTTGGCACCAAAATCAGCAACAAAAAGGACCCTTTTGGATCTGGGTCGGGTTCTATTTAACCCAGAACGTGGGAGCTCCAACAGAGAGTCAAAACCTTCGGCACACACAAAACTCAGAGACAAACAGACAAATGCAAGAATTAGAACTGCAACACATGAACAAAACGTTGGAAGTCGAAGCTCCATGTTGTGTTAAAAGAACATGAACTTAATTACTTGAAGAGTTGGTTAAAGATTTGGAGATTATATAAACATTTGTTGTTAGATTTAAGAGACAGACTTTGTTGGAGAATCTAAAGAAGCTCGTGAAGTCAAAAAGCAACTATGCCAAAGCATGACACGTTTGAAAAGCAACAAGGTGTCGGCATCTTTTGCAACATATTTTACTTGAAATGGAAATTGAAATGACATGTATATTGTTTGTACATGAATTATTAGCATGTAAGCACTATTTTGAATGCATTTTGAGTTGGAAAAATATCACAAATTATATGTGGCGATTGAAGCTTCCCCACCTTAGGGTTTTTTGAGTTTTGATTGATTAATTGAGTTTGATTCATTCAGTTTTTGTGTTTATTGGGTTGAAATTCGATTGAAGAATGTTTATTTGTAATATTTTTTATTTGTTTGTTGATTTTCTAGTCGGCAGTACTCCCCAATGTCGAGAGCAATTGCCGGCAATGAAAGAGACTAAGAAGAGAAGAAAAAAGAGTGGGCTTTCTCGTAAATCACTATATTTCCCACCTAGACCAGAGGAAAATATAATATTTGAGTAGCAAAATGATATTTTAAAAGTGAAGTTGGAAAAGTGTCAATGGGCCATTTTTTGGGTGGGAAAAAGTCATTAACTCATTGATGAAACACCATCTTTATTCCTGAACTTGTTACATTAGCAACAGGATGAGTACATGAGGGTGAAATGACACTATTTCTTGAATGTCCTTTTTTTACAATTAATTCGTTAACTATAGTCTACTCGTATCATCAATTCCCTGGTGGGTCATACCCCAACTTCAATACAGGCGTCAATCTAACCAATTCAAGTCACTCAACCCATAATTTAGCCTCAAGAAAAACCAATAAACTCATAAAAGAGCAATTCTGCACGTATCGTTCTTCAACGGAATTTCATCGAACACTTTCTAGGCGTCACTAATGAATGTTAATTAACCATACAGACATATCAAAGCACTACCAATAAAAACCCTAGACTACCGATTTTTAACAAAATAACTTCATACATTCAACAATGGAAATAATCCATAGATGAGTTGCATAGAAGATATCAATAGAAACTTTCTCACTTTTGTTGCTCTCTGAAATTAACTCTGATAATCACAACCATAATTGTGCACTAAATTGTTGTTGAAGGATTGATTATTATTACTATGAGGCAGCCAAACCATTGTAGCCGACCTGATGTTATAAACTTAATAATACTTCTAAGACGGATGACAAATCATACTCTTTTTAATCAGTATAACATGGCGTTTCCTATAATTTCATGCAGATTGACATGTCATACTGATTATACAAGATATCATCACATGATGACAGATGGAGTGTTTTCTACTTACCTATAGTACATGATAATGGCAACTCATTCAATCAATCACAACTATGACTATTATTAAGACCGAACCACTTCACAATTGTTGTTATTCAAACCCAAAAATTTCACTGATGTGTGTTTAGATATAATTACTGTCAACTTATAAGCTCACCAGAACATCAAGTGAATAATGACAACATAGAGTTTACATAATTTCATGGAACTTGCAAGGCAATTACGAGTGAGCAGTTCTGGATACCCTGCACTTTTTGGAGTAACCAAAACTGGAATCGAAATCGGAACCAGAACCGTTCCTAAGATTTGAAACCGGAACCGAAACCATTCTGTTCTGATTCTTAGGTTCCTTACTCAGGTACCCTATAAAGTTTAATTACTCCCTATTAATTTAAAAAATATCAAATAAACCTTAAAAATTTACAACCAATGTTTTAAAAACCAACCCGAGACAAAACTCGGCAAGCTGACTGAGTCCCAAGTCGACTGGTTGAATCGGTTGAACTAGCTGATTCAACTGATGACGTCATCATGCTGACGTCAGCAACATTACTGTTCACAGAATGCAAAATTGCAGAATTTGAATCCAAATTATAAACTCCTGAATAAAAAGACCTTAGCAAACCATCATCAAACATCATTACATCAATAATACAACAAATTACAAATCAAAACAACAAAATAAAGGAAGAAATCACATAAACAAAATTAACAACTTAAATCAAGTGTTCATTCATCATGCACCAAAACAAAATTAAAGGTCTGCTGCTGGAATAGTGGAATGTACATCAATAAGGTGACACCGTGACAGTTACCTGGTGCTGGTGAAGATGAGCTGTCGTTGACAGTTGAGTTGACCGTCGGAGAGGTGGAGCTCGGTTGTGAACAGTGCAACTATGAAGAGCTAAGATTCAAGCAATGTGAGGGGAAGAGGCAACAGTTCCTAGGCAAGAAGAAGACGAGATCAACTGTGTAGCTTCGAGAAGATTGACAACGACGGATGAACAGCGTAGATCGGCGGTGAAGAAGAGTGTGAGAGGACAGAGAAGATCATGAAATTGGAGGAGATTTGCGGTACCCCAGCTAATGACGAAGTAAGTAGTTGACGGTGAAGGCTGAAGTAACGAGATTTGACGATGAAGGGGAGACTCTGGTGGAAGATTTCAGTTTTAGAATTTCAGACCAAAAGTGTGAGAAATGCCGTGAAATGGGGAGGAAATGTTGATATTTGCTTTGGGATAGGGGGTTTTTACTGTTCAATTTATATAATTATAATGTATGGGTTTTGCTGTTTTAGAGTTTAATTTAAATTTTTAATTTTACAAATTAGTTTACCCGGTTTTTTTTTAAATAACGGTTGGACCGACGGATACTACAGTGCATCGGTCCAACAGCGAGTGTAAGTGTGCAGACTGATATAAGCGGTTTTGAGCCTCACCCGGCCTGGCTCACCAGCCAGGTCTCGGTTGAACCAGTTCAACCGGGCCGAGTTTTAAAACAATGTTTACAACTACACCCCTGAAGTTTAAGAAAACTAGCATTTAGTAATTTTCAATTTTCATTACTCATTCATTTGTGTCCAATCATAGTCACAGATCCTTGGAAATAATATATATTAAATTTTACATCAAAGTATAGTTGTGGAATTAATTTTGGGAATTAAATTTTGGTGAACTTTATTTTCCAAAAATATAAATATTATATAATATTATAATTAGTAGAGTGAAAATGAAGTTTTTGAATTTGCCCATAAGTTAATTAAATATTTAATCATTTAATTAAGTAATATACTAATGTTCATCAATTTATCATATACAATTACTAATTTACTATAGATATGCTTAGATTTTGATAATTGAAGTAAATACTATTCAATCAAATATACTATTTTTTCAAAAATAATTTTTTTTAATAACATTAAAACACTTTTAATTAGATCATAATTCAAATTATATTCTTAATTAATCAAACAATTAATGAATCTAATATATTTTGATTCTCTTAAATCTTAATCACAAGCCCTCAAAACTTTAACGTTATAATATTTTTTTTTAAATAGAGAAATAAAATATAATTACTAATAACTAAATTATTTAGGAAAATATTTCATACACAATTAGTAGGTGGTTTTGATTTTTGTATTTAAATAAATTAACAAGTAATCACTTATCTTTAATACTCGTTGAACTTGGATTTATACAATCATACTTATGAGTTAATTAAAATAATTTATATAATATTATAATTGCTAGAGTGAAAATGAAGTTTTTGAATTTACCCATAAATTAAATTAACATAAATTGTGACAAAAGAATCAAATTAAATATTAATATTAATATGATTTATGAATTTTTAATTAAATATGTAATTAGTATGATTCTAAATTTGTTTTATGTCATTAATTTAAGTTTGATTACAAAACACTTACCTTTCTTAATATACCGTGAGTTGTCATACTATAATATTATAATTTATTAAATATCTAATCATTTAATTAAATAATGTTCTAATTTTCATCAATTTATCATATATAATTACTTTTCTTAATATATAATTAATTTATCATGTACTAATGGCATTTATTTAAGTTTGATTACAAAACACTAACCTTTCTTAATATACCATGAGTTGTCATACTATAATGTTATAATTAATTAAATATTTAATCATTTAATTAAGTAATGTATTAATGTTCATCAATTTATCTTATATAATTACTAATTTACTATAGATATATTTAGAACTTGATAATTGAAGTAAATATTATTTGATAAGAGCTTGAAAGTATATATTTTGTTAGTGATTTAATTGGATTATTTGTGGAAAACTATGTTTAATTTGTGGAATTTGAATTAATTATTTCATAAATATCTTTTACGGGATCACGGGTGTATTTTGAGTATTTTTAGGTTCAAACCAATATTTGAAGGAAGAAGAATGATGTCGATGGAATTCGTGACAAGTAGGAAAAAACGGTGTAAGAATCGGAGTTGAAATGAGAAAGTTGTGACGCATCGAAGATACAATGTAAAATCTGGAAATCCTTCAAGGTGAGCATGCTTCGATGTTTCGATCATAACTTGAGCTGTAGAAATCGGAATTCAACGATTCTTGTGGCATTGGAAAGCTTATTCAGAGAGCTTATGTTGATGACCTTACTAAATTCTGAAGATCACGGACTCATGGGACAGAAAGAACAATTGCCGCAACAACCGTTTATTATCACCGCAGCGATAGGTCACGGCCTGTTTGGGTTATTGCATTCTCCTAGTCCGAATCTCAATGGGTTAAGGCATTTAATTCTTTCCTAAGTAACCTCCAAACCCTAGCACTATAAATAAGGGTCTTTAAATAGTTTTTAGGGGATTAGAGAAGGAGAAAGGACGACTACTATTTTGGAGATCAGAATTCTTGCAGTTCTCGTTCGCCAATTAGAGAAGTTTTTATATGTTTCTTTCTTGAACTCATGTTATTGAATATAATGATGGTTTTTATTATGGCAATTATAAACTAAATCCCTTTTCTAGGGCTAAAGATGTAGCCCAATTTATGAATAGGTGTTGACTTTATTGCTGTTAATTCTTATTGAGCATTAATTATAAGATTTATTATTGTGTGTAATGCTTTCAATTCTTAATGATCTGAGAGTTGAATGATATCATGGGTTGGGTTGAGATCGAG